GAGTTACAAATTCATTCTGTCATTGTAAAAAAAATGCACATATTTCTAACTTTATAATGGGCTTTTCTCATTCTTTACCCAAGGAAGAACTATTTCTAGGAGAGGTGTTATACGTATCACATCTTTTTTATCGCTTAAAAAACTAACCAAACACACGTGAGAATTTTTATGATGGTTAACGGTATAAAAATCTTACCTAGTTCTGGGAGAGGAAAAAGGGACTGAACTGAAGGTGTTTGTGATTTAGAAAATGAGGCTTCAAAATAAGATGTGGCAATCTTGGTTGCTACATGATGTTCTTCAAGATTAGTCTTCATGGGAAGAGACTTCTGCACCATCACACTCAGACAGCAAGAATGGGAAGTGCTCATAAAATAACACTGTGTTACTTTGTATTTGGTTGAATTTGAGGACTATTGAGCCGTGTTCTGTACAATTAATAACCATCAAAGCAGTTACAGGCGCTGAGAAACCAGTGACCTGGGACAGGAGCTTACTGTTAACTGTTAGAAAATGTTTGTATAAAAGAAAATATTGCCATTAGGCTCCTAGAAATTATTAAGAACTGAAATTCACTGTCAAACTGCATGTTGCTAGGGATGCAGTCATCACCTTGTTCCAGTCCTGCAGCAGCATGTTTAGCTTGGGTGGTAAGCTCTTGAACCATAATATAAGCTGGATCATAAACCAGAACCGGTTCACTGTGCTTGTTTGTTTAAACGTGGGATACTTCTGAGTTTTTAATAGATGATAGCTTAGCAATCTGTTAGCACTGCTATCTTTCTAATGGAATATTGAGTGTTAGAGTATTCTTGATGACACATTGCTTTGCTTCTCCATTTAACCAGGTAGTTGCGTGCTTTATTCTGAGAGGTAATTAGTTGAGGCCTTTGCACATGCATGCAAAGATTTAAATTGGAGTAGCAGGGAAAGAATAAAGAAATATTATGTAACTTTCGTAAGAATCCAGTATGATAGTGCTGTATACATGCTTTTTATTTTCTCGCCTGGATCTTCAACATAGGTTCAATGCTTGATATCATAAAGTATATTGTCAACAGAGGAGAACACAAAAGCGGTGTCCTTGAAGAACCCATAATAGCAACAATACTTAAAGAAGTTTTGGAGGGGTTAGACTACCTGCACAGGAATGGGCAAATTCACAGGTAGGAACATAAATACAATGAAAAGCATTTTCAAGGTTGCATCTATAGTTTGCACTTGATACTGGTAAGCTGCAGTACTTGGCCAAGCAAATTGTATCGCCTCTTTCACGTACTGTAAATGTGATCAGTAATGGTCAAATGATAATGCTCATGCAGATGCTGTACCACAGTGTGTCACTAGTACTTTGCACTTATCTATCTGATCTTTATCCTATTTATTTCCTTCATAGTTAAGATAGGTCTGTGCTGTGCGAAGTCTGTGAAAACTGTGGTCTGTATTGCTATGGCTGCTGGTACTCCAAATATCTAATCTGAATTTAATGCACGTGACGAGTTTTCTGTCTTGTGTGTCATGTTGCACAGTAAGCCCGTAATCTTGGTCGCTCAGGTACTGCTGTGTAGGTGTGAACTTTATTTCTTCCTGATAATCAGTAGAGTCTAATACAATTTTACAGACCTTTCTTTATGACCATGCTTGAAGCAGGTCTGATGCTATGGAAACAGATGTTGGCATATATGCATCTAGTGATTGTTCTTTCTTCACTGACTTCCCCAGTATAAACTATGCAGGTCCCTCAGGCTGATCTGTACGTGTCTGCTGTAGTGATCCACAGGCTGTTTCTGCTGGATGCTGGAAATGCTGTACTTTGACTTACCTAATTAGTTTTACTGAGGTGAATTTGCCTTTTAAGGGAGGGTGCCTACAACAGGCTCTCTGTTTTGAGCGCTGGCCTTTTACAAGAGAATGTTTTAAACAAAAAGCAGAGTCATTGCAGCCAAAACCCTGAGAATTGAGGTAGTGCAGATGCAGCTCAGTAATGGCTCTTTGTGTGTACTACTTATGTCCCGTCTCATAAGTGAACTGCCTGTGCTGTAAATCAAGAAATGTTTCCTGCTTTTGCAGAGAGAAAATTGAGATAAATGGAGAAATAAAGAAAAATTATCTTGACTTCTGGTCTGGAACACCAAAGATCTGCCACAAGCCTTAGTTTGTAGTCTTCTGTTAAGCTGGTATTATTGCGAAAGGGGTGTTCATTAGTTTTCAAGGATAACAGAACCCTTTGAGATCAGAGTTGGGAATTCCCCTTGTCTTTTAAAGCAGCCTAAAAAGATTAGAAGACAGATAACCATTTGTTACATCTACGACTTCTGTTTTATAAAACATCTGACTTATAAACTGTGCCGTACCACAGAAGTCCTGTTCAAAACAATACAGTGTGCATTTCTTTTCCCATTTACTTTGTAGACAAAAGCTGTGCTAGTTCAAGGGAAGCAATATCAGGTGGTATTTGCCATTGGAGATTCTATTTCTAAAATGGCTGAGGAATTTTATTTTAATTAATTCTTTTTAAAAGAAGAAGGTGATGTTACTTTTCAATAGCAGTGGTCTTAATTATTTTCAGTAAATCTTGGAAAGATTACTTTTTTTGCCGTTCAAATTTGTAATGTATATGATGTCTTCTGAATGAAAGAATTAGCCTGTACATTATAAATGGGACTTACCTTTCCCTTAAAAAGGGAAGGCTTGCAAGCCAGAAAGGTTTATGCTTAACTTTATGCGTGTAAGCAGTGAGTTAAATGGACAGAGAGTTGAATTTTAAGCACCGGGTGAACTTTTGACAGATTCAGCTTTATGTAAGTTTTCATAATGGTACCCTATAGCAAAATGTATTTGCTATTCTAGAGTTTTAATAACTTCATCGATATCCACAGTATATTTACCTTTCTTGAAGATGGATCATCAGAATGCTTTATGGAAGAGGTCAGAGAAGGCAATTTTTTTCAGATTTTCTTTTTCATAAGTTGTATAGTTGGATGTTAGAACATGTTAATTCTATAAAGCTTTGAAACAATTTGTGAGAATACATTGATAAAAGCAAGTAAAACGGAGTTTGAACCTAAATATTTCTGTTCTGACCATCTTTCTCTGAACTCTGCTTGTTTCATGTCAAAGCTGAATTTGAGTCTCTTTATACAAAAAAGATAGTATTTGTGAAAGTTTGAGTTCAACACGCTGTTTTATTGTAAAGCAGTTGCATTCTATGCTTCAGTTTCTTTTTCTGCCTTTTTGAAATATCAGATGGTAATGTGAGGTTAATTAATATGTGCGGTTGCTTTTTGTTATCTCTTTTTCTTTTTTCCTTTTTTTCCTTTAACGTAGAATGTGCACCTATATGCATTTTATACCTGAAAGTAATTCCTTACTTGTGTGTTCTAGGGATTTGAAGGCTGGCAACATTCTTCTGGGTGAAGATGGCTCTGTACAAATAGCAGGTAAAAGCAGTAGTGAAAGTGTAATGGCGAAGTAAAAGAAAAGGAGAGCTGAAGCTGGTTTAGGAGCAAGGGGGATACCTCTAGAAAACTCTTCTGTTGGCTTTTAGTGGTTCTCTCTGCAATGTAGTAGTTTCTTCTGCAAGTTGTCCTATTTCACGTTTCAGGATGCTTAGCTAATGATAAATGCTTCAGAAATGATTTGATTTTTTCAGTGGCCCATCAAATGTATCAGGATACGTTTTTATGTCCTCTTAATGTTTCCTTTTCAATTGTCCATGTATCTTAAAAAGCTCGCAAAGGATGCGGTTTTGTTCAACTTTGTTTCATGAATTATTTCAGCAGGTAATTCTACTAGCTCTTGGAGAGTCAGATGTCCGTGTTAAAGTATGTACAGCCTGTCATGATGACCTTGGCTATAACTCTTCAGTTTTATGCACAGCTGGCTATTGAATCTGCACATTCTCTGCATGCCCACAGAAATGTTTGGAAAAGATTTGGTTAAGAATAGCCACAGCCTTGGCCTCAGATCCTCAAGCCGGAGGCAGGTGCAAGATTTATCAGGGACAATTGTTTTTGAAGCCTAAGCCTTCCTTGGCCAACCCCACTCTCATGGGAGCTCGAGGCTTTACCTCTCTCCCAGCCCTAACCTTAACCCTAACCATAGATTTTGGCTTCTGCTGCTCCTGAGACTAAGATCTACAGCCATGGTTGAGGTGAGAAAGTTCTTAGGGGGAGAAATGTTTTTGCAGCCTGTACCTGCCTTTGGCAGCCCCTTTGCAACCCAGCTCCCACAGAAGCTTGAGATTTTTGTCCTCTTTCCGAATGGTAACCCTAACCCGCACCCTGGACCTTGGCTTCAGCTGCAAGAGCCCCAGCACTTGCCAAGGTGGAAAAGTTGTCAGATGAGAAATGGTTTTGCAGCCTACCCCTTCCATTGGCAGCCTCTTTGCAGCCCTGCTCCTTTGGAGGCTCCAGGCTTTGCCCCTCTCCCCACACTAATGCTCACCTTAGATTTTTGGCCTTGCCTGGGGCTTGGCCAAGTGCCCAAGCCCTGGCTGAGGAGAAATAGATGTCGGGGGGAAAATGTTTTTGCTGCTTATCTGGGTGGCCCCTTTGCTCCACTTACATTAATCTGAAAATGCTTACTAACACAGTTAAATCATGGCTGTTCATTAAATCTATTTGTTCTTTGGTCTTAGCTGTGGTTTTTAGTGCCTAATGCTGTTGAGTTCGGCTCTTTCCTTGTCATGCATTTCCCTTTTCTTTTATGGAACTTCTCAGTAATACTTCCAGTCTCTTATGTTTGTTATAGGAAGCCAGTCAGTACAGGTCTTGTCTTTTTTTTTTTTTTTTTTTTTTTAAACAACCTATATTTATGGAAGCTATCTGTGTGGAGAAACAAAAATCTTTTGGTTTTTATTGAGTAGCTACCAAACCATTCTCTCTGTAAACGTACAGCTGTGTTTTATTAGCATTACAGTGAAAGGTTTACTTGAGTTAGTTAAATACTCATTACGTTTTTCTCCATGCGGTGTTGCAATATTTCTTTTTGAAGCTTATGCAAGAAGGTTTTCTGCTTTTCTATTTGATCAGGTTTCCCCCTTCATTTATATTTGTCATTTGTGGTCCTTCTCAAAATGAATGTTATGTTGAGAGGGAAGAACAGTGGTGGAGGGAGGAGCAAAGGTTAAGCCAGAATTTCAGCTGCAATATCTCAGTTCCTGAAAGGTCCATTAAACAATTGTACAATACAAGCTATTTATCTTTGGAACTGAAAGGACCATCATTTTTTTTCATATGGCTCCTTGATTTATTCATTCATTTATTTGTTTCTGATTTCTACTTATACAGATTTTCCTCATATGCAGTAGTTCCTCTCCAGAAAAAATGTTACTAATTACCACTATTATTTTTAGTTGATATTTCTGGGGCTGTTCATGCATGCCTTTCAAAAATACAAACAAACCCCCTCTAAGCCATATCTTACAGATTTTGGAGGAGGGGGGTCATCAGACAAACTGCAGGGAAAGTTAATGAATATGTATTGTTTGAAGCTTGCTTCTTAACTGTCTACTGTATGTCTATGTTTTATGGAAGCAGAAAAGATTCAGAAAGAATTTGAATCTGTAGTGCAGGTAATAAACAGGTTTACTTTCCACAAAGCAGATGTTAACAGTAAAGCTGTGACTGTTGAACTCTAGCCCCAAACCTGGAGCACAAAGACTATTTGAAATGCACAGTATGATGTGGCCAGTGGGGAGTGACAGTGTGGACTCAGCATGCCTGTCCAGTATTTCTGGAACAGATTCTTTTTGTGATTATACTGCTTTGGACTATCTTTTTAAAAAAATAAAAAATAAAAAATTCCTCTCTGTAAGGATGCCTGGATAAATGTGAGTAAATACTTCAGTTATGTAATCTCTGCTGATAACTTAAGAAAAATAGTATAGCCAAGGCAGTTTAAGAATTACTGACTGAAAAGGAAATGGATAGGATATTATTTTAAGGGCTAAGAATACACTACTTGAAAATGTATACGTGTTCTTTGAGCACTTATCTGCCTGCAGAATGTGTCTCAGATGTAAAAGTGTATTGCCACCAGCAGTCTAGTGACATAAAATCTCTTTTGGTCCAGAAGCAACCCAAAGTAGTACTTTATCATCGCAAATTCATCGGACTTGTCTCTCTGTTATATGAATAGAATGGTAAATGAATAGAAGGAACTCTAAATTCCAAGTACTTCCATGAAAAAATGTGGAATAATATTTTTTTGTGTGTATTTTGTTTTCTGAAGTTAGCTGATTCCTGAGGAGAAGAACATGTAAATGTGATGCTTTAAGTTGAGGTTTTTTGATCTCAAGAGAACTTCTCAGAAAGATCACTTTGAGCGACGTTTTTTAATCACGTCCTAAAAATAAATCAGTGACCTTTTTTTTGTATTTATTGAGATATATCAAACAATAGGGAAAACAATAGGAAAACAATAGGAAAAATACAATTTTTTAAACAGGTGTACAGTAAAATACTTCAATCCGATTAGGTTGTGAATAGTGCAGGATCTAAAATATTCCTCATATAACTCAATTTAAAATTACAGCATTTCTCCTTACTTTGGTAATCTGCTTGTCTTTGTTCCCTTTGTCTCCTCCCTCCCTCCCTCCTTCCCGTATATGGCTGTCACTAAAATAGTGACAGTTTAAGAGAACACTTAACACTTTATTGTTGTTTATTTGGAAAAGTCTATGTATGTCGTTGTCTACCTTTTAAAAAAAAATTGATCAGTTTGATAGTCTCTGATTTCTCAAATCTACGTAGGTAATTAACTGTGTATTGAGAGAGAGAGAGAAAATGAATGAATGAATTTCCTCTTGCTCAAACTGCATTCAGATTTAGTAGCTACACTGGAAGTAGCTCCTTATCTTTTAATAGCAGATGCAAACCTTGGCTCAAAGTGCACATTTGAAAACCCAAAGTGACAGACACACTAGAGTCCTTCGTAACCGTAGCCAGCAAGGCATGTTCTAGAAGGTTAAACTTGAGAGATGTTCTAGTGATAACGATACCATTTATTTCATACCACTTCAAGAATAGGGTATCATGAAACAAAGGTAGTCTGTGCAATGGAGAATATGTATAAGTAGGCCTCATGACTTCATTTCTAAAGTATGAAACCTTTGCTTTGTTAGTGGTAATTTAATGGATTTTAACTTTTTTCCCTTCCTTCCCAGATTTTGGCGTTAGTGCATTTTTAGCAACAGGAGGTGATGTTACTCGTAATAAAGTAAGGAAAACATTTGTTGGTACTCCATGTTGGATGGCCCCTGAAGTAATGGAGCAGGTATTCCTACTGCTTTAAAAAAACAAACAAACAAACAAGTGTTTTATTCTTTGATTTTAACTTAAGGCATCACCATCTTGCTTTTTCTGTCTTGTTCTATTCTAGGTGAGAGGTTATGACTTCAAGGCTGATATGTGGAGTTTTGGGATAACAGCCATTGAATTAGCAACAGGAGCAGCACCTTATCACAAATACCCTCCTATGAAAGTAACTATCACTTCATATTGCTTAATGCTGAAGGATTCCAGGCTTCAGATTGCCCTGTGCATTTGAACTTTTTTGGTCATTTCAGATTGTTCTCTCTTGACAGATGACTGAAAGTAGAGGAATTTTGTAGATTCTGAATGTGGGAGCAGGTATTAGGGGAGGTGGTATGTAGGAAGCTGCGCGAGAGGAATGACGTGCAAGGCGCAGACCCAGAAAGTTGGACTGTGGGGCTTTGTTATTAGTGCTTAAGTCATGTTTCATTCCTTTGACAAAAAAACCAAAAAGAGTTAATGCAACACTTCTGTTGAAGGTAGAAAAGTATGTGGTGTTCTGCGTGTCCTCTTTTGTTCTCTTGGTGTTTTTTTTCCTATGTTTTTACCCATCAGCCTCTAAAATAGGATAATATAAAGGTCTTCTGAAGAAGTTTGCAAGTGATTATATGAAACTGCAGGCCTATTACCAGGTGTTTATTTTTGAAGGTGTCAGAAAGCTGCTGTGCTGTTTGTCAGAGCAGAAAACTTAAATTCTAAGTTACCATTTAAAAATGAAATTAATCCCTTCAAATTGATGAATTAGTAAGTTACTTGATAAGCATTTTTTACTAGTTTAGATTAAATAACAGTAGTAGCAAACTGAGCTTCCTTGAACTGAGTTTTGTGCCTTTACTTTAAGAAGAACCTGTGCAGTATAATTTACTAGGGACACCTGCTTAAATAAGAATTTAAAAAAGGAAAAATTGTGGCTATTAGTGTTTGTTTTCTGTAGAGTGACTTAAATAATTTTAAATTTCAATTCAAAATTGGGAAGCTATGTGTTTTTATATAATCTTAAGATGATTAAGTTTACAGCAACTGCTGTATGTACCAACGTTTATGAAAAGATGTTGAAGAATGGTGCCTAATATAGGTGAAAAGGAATGAATGCATTTTCTAGGACTCGCTAACGCTAATTAAAAAAGCATTTTATCCTTCGGGTATAAGTGATGCATTTCTGTCTGTTTCACCAAGGTATTATATTTTCTGTGCAGCAGAAATAAGTTATTAATTGCAGCAGCCTTGCTTACTATTCCTCTTTGTTTTGTTTTGTTTTTTGTTTTCCTCCTATGCACCCATATTTCTGACTGGCAGAAGTATACTGTCCAACCATGATGTGAAGCCTGGGCAGAACCTTTTCTAGTCTACTTGTCTATTTTATTGTCTACTTGTTCTCATCTTTTTGGGGAATCGTAAACGGGCATATGTATATTTTTTGATTTTTAAATGCATTTATTTTTATCAGTCATACTGTTCATTGCTCTGAGAGGGCTGTATGGAAATGCTGTTGTGACAGAGCTACTTTGTTTTCAATAGCAACCCAAGATATCTGAAAATTTGCATCTGCATACTTGTACAACTTTTAATAGTTTTAAAACTGAATATTCTGTTTTTATTTCCACATTTTTTTTATACCAATTTAACTATGATGCTTATGGCACCTATTTTCTGTTTGGGTTTACCATAGGTGTTAATGCTGACGCTGCAGAATGACCCTCCTACTTTAGAGACGGGTGTAGAGGACAAGGAGATGATGAAAAAGTATGGCAAATCTTTTAGAAAACTAATTTCACTATGCCTTCAAAAAGATCCTTCCAAAAGGTAGGTCATTTACTATCAGGTACAGTAGAATTTTTTTTAAAAAATGTACAGACTACTTAAGGTTTCAGTGTTCGTATATCATCTTTGAGCATATGATTTGAGTTTTCTAAAAATTGGTCTTCAGTCATCTTCATGTGGGGAGAAGGAGTTGCCTCTTAACTGTTTTAAGTCTTCTTCCTATGGATTATTAACCTAATTTGCTCATATTTAAATATATTGTTGAACTCAGTGTTGATCAGGCACAAGTCCTTGTTCTATATCTTAATTTCTTGTTTTAGGTAAAATACCAGTCTTGATATTGCACATAGGTCCAGCAAGACTGTTCACGTTGATGAAACAGTTGTTCATAGCCAAACAGATTGACCACTTGGCCTTTAAATTAGAAATATTTTTGTTGAATATTCTCTTTTTGTGAAACAGGTTTAGTACTTTCTTTAACTCTATAATATCTTCAGAGAAAATTACTTATTTTTGTGATGTAAAGTAGCAAACCACAAGTTTGCGTAGAGTTTTCCTCCGGTGCCTGTAGACAATCAGGCGTGAGTAACATCTCTGTGATCTTTCTTGATGTGTTCTTGTGACTGGGATTTCCAAGATAATGAAAATGTTAAAACATCTGTTCTAGAACCATTGCTGAGGTTTCAAGGTCCCAGAGTCATTCCTTTATTTATTCTTTATTTTTATGCAGACCAATTTTTATAGGTTTTTGCTGAACAGGGAGGCGGAGGAGGCACGTTCTGTAATTATTGTTTTCTGCTGGTATTTAATATATCGCTTCTTTTTTTTTTTTTTTTGGAAGCCTTTCAGAAATGTCATTACAGGAAAAAAGAGATTCTTCTGAATGAGCAAACCTGACTCAGTACTATGTTCTCTCTTATGATGTGTAACTTAATTTAGCGTTAAGTCCAGGATACTGTTTCAGTGAGTCAAGTTGAAAAGGTGACAGCAGCAATAATAGAGAATGAACATTGTTAGGAGAAAAGAATGTACATTAGAGGGCAGCATCCTTAATTCTTGAAATCCTTCAAATTCTTCCTTTTGATTGAAGGATCGTTTGTGTACTATTTTCAGATTCCTAAGCTCTTTACAGTTGGTCTTACTAGTAGCAAATCCTGATGCTTTAAGCTTAGTGCTACAGTTTGCTGGCTGCTTATAATAAGAAAGAAATACATTCTGAATAATCAAGCTTCTTTTGAGTTTCCAGTAGCCAGCAGTTTTCAGGGCAAGATTAAATTGGTATGAAAGCAGAAATAGTGGACAGTTAAAATGGTTTTCCTTCTCTCCTTGAATACATAGTGCCGCGAGTTACCTGATCTGTGGTTGAGATGTCAATGTCGAAACATTAGTGTAGTAATACTTAAAATATCTTCATACTCAAAATTGACCTGCACTGAACAATTAGTCCAGCAGATAAGTGGTCAGATCGGTGTGCCGGTTACCCTGATCGGGGAGTGAGTGTCCTTATGTTATTTGGTTGATGCTATTTTTTTGGTTTCTCCACAGTCAGTAGTTAGTTCTGGTCAGAGAAACTTTCATAGCCACTGTGACAATTTTGGGAGAAATGCCTGCTCTTCGTGGGAAATTATCGGATTGGTGTTGCACTGCTGTCTCTCATAGCGTACTATTTTTTTTGGGGGGGGGGGGGGGAGAGGGGGGCTGGAGGGGGGATGTTACTTTCTCAGTGCAAAATAAATAGATTACTGTCCTCAGCTGTAGCTCACAGCCTCAGGCTGTGTGGGTGACAAGCCCAGAAAGCCCTTCCAGACCGGTTCAGTGTTTTCTGATATTAATAATAAGTAGAGGAATGGAGAATACTACTTTGGATAAAACATTACCAAGAATCTAGCTTTTAACTGTGCATATCCCTATTACAAGATGTGGTGGTAATGGATTGTTAAAACTTGTCTTAAAGTTAAAACTTGACTCAAGTTTAAACTTGAAAACATGACACAAACTTATTTCTTTTAAAGGTTCCCCTCCCAATTTGCCCATCCAAGGTTTGTGTGTGAATTACTGCTTTGCCTGGTAGTCTCCACAGTACCTCTACTAAGAACCTTTCAGAGTCTGTTGCTGTGGGAAGACAAGCACTGTCTGGAACTACTGTCTGTGTCTAAATTGGATGGTTTTTTTGTTGATGCCAGGAGTTGTTTCATTTTTTGTAGAGGGATTGAAATGATATATGTACATACTACTTTCTATTTCTGTTTTCTTCACTTCTTCAAACGTGTCTTCACAGAAACAATCTAGTTCAGATTTTGATTTTTTCTGAGATTTTCCATATGGAAGTTTCCTACTGTCTGAGCTAGTCTATGCAGTATCTGGTCTCTTGCTTTAATTCAAATAGAAAACTATAGCAAATGTTACTTTCATTCACTTAGAAATGGTGAATCTTGGAGATTTCCGCTTCCCTAAATTTAGCCATCTCAAAGTTAGTCTTGCGTAGTGATCTGGGCTCCTAATGGAGAGAAAAAAATAACTTGGATTTATCTCGTCCCAAGAGATGCTTCTCCTCCTCCAGAACCTGGTTGAGTCTAAGTCTGACTTTGCTTAGCTATGTAACTTTTAGATCCCCAAAGCTAGAGGAGACAAATCCTGCCATTGGAATCATTTCAGTAGATGTGGGATTGTGGAAAATCTGGTGTAAGCTTCAAAAAGAGAAGATGCTGAGAAGACAGAGAACGGAACAGAACTCTTAAGTAAACGTGAAATGTCTAGTTTTTGACCTTACAGCTGTCGATTTGTCTTTTACTTGTCTATTGGGTTGGAAGAAACTCCTGATGATGATTTTGGGGTGATTTTGCTTTTTGTTTGTTTGTTTATGCATCATCTTAATGGTGTCAGTATTGTTCCATGTGAATACCTGCTCACATCACTGAAGTGAACGAATGCAGTTAGCGGGTATTGGTGCTACCGTTTGGAAAATGTAATTACCCTTTTATATGCCTGCAAGGTAGTTGCTGTGGAGCAAAGTTCAGTTACACCTATGGAGTCATTTAGGGAAGCGCATGTTACCTGACTACTTTTTTTTTTGTATATTTTAAGGGTAAAATGCATTTATGTTGAAAGAAAAAGGGGGAAAATTGGCAATTTAGATACTGATTTTTTTTTTTGGTATTTTTGCTATAGGGAAACTTAATTTTTTGGTGTATGGTAAGTGAGTACATGCGAATTAATTCAGTAGCTGTTGCCATTCATTCCCCATTCATACAGTACTAATTCAGAAGTATTAGAGACGTGCCGTGTAACTAACGTCCTGTACTGTATTCACTGAGAGGGGTCTTTGTTTTCTGTTCTAATTTATTATTGATCTTTCAGGCCCACAGCAGCAGAACTTTTAAAATGCAAATTTTTCCAGAAAGCCAAGGTAAAACGTTTAACCCTACAAGTAAATTTTGCTCTGCCTTAAAATCTACATGAATTTTCTTCTTTCCTTGTATTGATTTTAACTTATCAAATGTTGGTTTTGCAGAATAGAGAATACCTGATTGAAAAGCTTCTCACTAGAACACCTAATATAGCACAAAGAGCGAAAAAGGTAAGTGTATTTGCTTTTCTCTAGACTGTGGGCTGCAGGGGAAGGCGAGGCCTGTTTATTTGCCTTACCTGTTAGTCGAGTGACAGATCTATTCTCTTATGCACTCCTTCAGAGATAGTGACTCTTGAATGAATGATTGCTGTAGCTAAGCTTTCTCCAGGAAGCCTTGGGGCTTTTTGATTTTCTTTTTGGCTCTGCCAGAACAATATACATTATCATATACCATATGATTCTTCCCTTTCCTCTCCCCCCACCCCATCCCCCCAGTTAGTTGGAAGGATACAAATAAAAGGGTTGTGTAAAGGAAAAGTGACAGATCTGCAAGCATATAGGTTCATAAACTGCAGAATACATATCTTAATTTCATTACCTAAAGAAAGGATGAAAATACTGCAAACAGTGTTTATTAAAGACTGTTTCTTTAGATTACTTAAAATGTGACACCCAATTACATGGAAATTGTGGCCGAATCCTACCAAGA